TTAAACCAGCATCTGCCTTCAGAAATATTTTCAAATTTCTAAAAGTCCACCTATGATAACCTGAAACTATGATGTCCTAAACTTTCTTCATCTCTCTCCATAATTTCTTAAGACTTTTTTTTAATGTTTTACAAGATGTTCTCTTCTTGCCACAGTAAGTTATCTTTTGAGTATACGGGAGGCTTCGAAGAAAGAAAACTGTTGTCATATTCCCATCTAATATTTCAGAAAGATCCAGTCAGCTCTCCAGAAAACACAGAAGAAAAGAAGTATCCAGGAGATGTCTCCATACCAAGTCCTAAACCCAAGCTCCATTCAAGAGATCTCAAAAAGGAACTCATCACGTGAGTCATAAAAAATGACACATTTTCCTCTGCCCTGGTAAAGACTGACTACATTATTGTTCGGAGTGCTGCTTTGGAGTAGACTTGCAGGAGTTGAGCAGGGAGATTTGCATGACTGTTCACTGCAGGTAGTTAGCTCACTGTTGAGGGTAGGCAACTGGGTAGACATGAGGTTTGGAGATGAGACAAGCCCGAGTAGGCCTGTGGATCCGAATAGATTAATGACTGATGTTATACTGGGTATCACTCCTTATTCCTCAGACATGGAATGTGCTAATGCTTGCATAATTAAATTAACTTTATTTGGACAATCATCATTATAGACCCACTGTTGAGGTCTTGTGTAGAAGTGCTCAGGATTTAGAATCATAGAATCACAGAATCATAAAATCATAGAATGGTTTGGGTTGGAAGGGACCTTAAAGATCATCTAGTTCCAACCCCCGTGCCATCAGCAGGGACCCCTTCCACTAGACCAGGTTGCTCAAAGCCTCATCCAGCCTGGCCTTGAACACTTCCAGGGAGGGGGCATCTACAACTTCTTTGGGCAACCTGTTCCAGTATCTGACCACCCTCACAGGAAAGAATTTCTTCCTAATATCTAATCTAAACCTCCCCTCTTTCAGCTTAAAGCCATTTCCCCTTGTTCTGTCATTAACTGCCCTTATGAAAAGTCCTTCCCCAGCTTTCTTGTAGGCTCCTTCAGGTACTGGAAGGCCACTATAAGATCTCCCCAGAGCCTTCTCTTTTCCAGGCTGAACAGCCCCAACTCTCTCAGCCTGTCCTCATAGGAGAGGTGCTCCAGCCCTCGGATCATCCTGGTGGCCTCCTCTGGACTTGTTCTAACTGGTCCATGTCTTTCTTGTGCTGGGGGCTCCCAACTGAACTGAACTGAACACTCCAGAACTGGACTATTTCTCAGATAGGAAACATGCAAAATTCATAAAAAAATAAAACACAGGACAGGAACTACCTCAAGGTTTTCCAACCTGTAGGAAATCTATGTCTACGTCCTTTATCTGCTTCCTTCAAACCCAAGTTAGTTATTCTGTCCTGCTAAAAATCCAGTGGATGTGCAAATTCACAGTCTGGAAGAATAGGATAATATTCTCTTTAGAGACTCACTTGCTCTGTCTTAACTTCTGAAACTTTACTATCTAAAATTGAAAAGAAATTCCATTACATCTTTCTTCATGCAACAACTTGTTTCAAATTAGAATCATTCAGGAAAATTGTGCCAACCAGGTCACAACACTAGTCACTTTTTAAAACCTCATCTAAGCTCTTCACAAAACACCTTTGGATTAATGTCAGCACCATTTTGATATCAATACATTGTTTTCACTGTAATAGTCAACTAGGACTTGGCAAACATTTATAGCACTTTTTTTGTCCTAAACCAGAATAGATCTCTCTAGACATGTGCATTCCATATCGCTTAGCGATGATAGTTATAACGTATCACTGCAGGCTCACCTGTAAATAAGTAAGTTGCATCCCATCACCTTGTATACTGCTCCCCAGACTCCATGGCACTGAAGCTGTTAGATCCACCTCTGTCTCTAGAATTTACATTTCCCTGGGGCAAGCTGCTTTGAAGAATGATTCTCTCCCCTCATGCCATGCAGACTTCACGTTGTCTACCCACTACATTATATCCACAGTTGTAGTTCATGACTTAAATTGCTACAGGTCAGGTTTAATAGAATCATAGAATCATAGAATGGTTTGGGTTGGAAGGGACCTTAAAGATCATCTAGTTCCAACCCCCCTGCCATGAGCAGGGACACCTTCCACTAGAGGGATACCTTACACTCGTTTGTTTTGTCTCTTCTAAAATTAGTGTGTACAAAAATCACTGAGAGTTTATTTCCTGAAGACTAATGGCTTTTCTTTTGTAATGTTTATTCTTTTGTGATATTGATCTGTTTTGAGATATCTATAAAATACTTTTATACTCTCCTAAATAATAATACCCAGAGTATTTACGAGGGCAATGATCAGCTTACAGGGGGTTTATGGTATTATTTTCGAATAGTGAGTAGAAATAAGTATCTAAAATGTAACTGTCTAAATAATTAAATAAGAAATAGTTTTAATTTATCAGAAGAATCTATAGTTAATATAGGGATCAGACTGCATTTCTGTGACCCCATTGAGCTCAGAACTTGTACAGAACAATTGAATAGAGGTGGCTCCATCATGAGGAAGTTTTCAAAATGGCATAAGCATGTGCAGAGAAAAATTTTCTGACATGGTTATCTCAGTTGCACTGAAGTATTGTATGAATACTATCTCCTAGCATGTGCCTTCTATTTTTCCATGTTAATTCTCCTGCCCATAACTACATTGCTGAGGTTGAAATGGACAGTGAAAATGAGGCTGATGTCTTCCTAAGGCTTTTTTACAGATTTGAAAAACTTCCTAGCACTCTGCCAGCTCAGAGAAAATAGTAAGGTGAGGATCTCAGGTACCTCTTATTCATTAGTATGGAGCACTTGCTAAAAGTTTTTGTACAGCTTCTGCTACAGTCCTTCATAAGGTTACTCTGCAGGGTTGGTGTTAGAGTGTTTTAAAATACTGTAGAAACATATCCTTAAATCATCGAGTTCAGGATCCTGCTAGGAGGAAACAGGGCAGTAAGTAAGACCGCAGTCCTGAACTTCAGGCGAGCTAACTTTGGCCTCTTCAGGAACCTTCTTGGAAGAATCCCATGGGATCAGACCCTTGAAGGAGGAGAGGTGCAAGAGAGCTGGTTAATATTCAAACATCACTTCCTCCAGGCTCAAGAACAATGCACACCTGTGTGCAAGAAGTCGAGCAAAGGGGGGAGAAGACTGGCATGGATGAACAAGGAGCTCCTGGCAAAACTCAAACATAAGCAGGAGTTGTACAAGAGGTGGAAGCAAGGACAGACCACTTGGGAAAAATGTAAGGGCATCACCAGAGCATGCAGAAATGTGACAAGGAAGGCCAAGGCCCAGCTGGAACTAAATCTGGCAGGGGAGGTTAGAGACAACAAGAAGGGCTTCTTCAAATACATCACTAACAAAAGGAAGACCAGGGAAAATGTGGGGCCGCTACTGAATGGGGCAGGGTACCTGGTAACAGAGGACACGGAGAAGGCAGAGTTACTGAATGCCTTCTTTGCTTCAGTCTTCACTGCCAAGACCATCCCTCAAGAATCCCCCCATCCCAAGAGACCAGTGAGAGAGTATGGAAAAGGGAAGACTTTCCCTTTGTCCATGAGTATTGGGTTAGAGATCGACTATACAACCTTAACACCTACAAGTCCATGGGCCCTGATGGGATGCAACCATGTGTGCTGAAGGAGCTGGCTGATGTCAATGCTAGGTCACTCTTGATCATCTTTGAGAGGTCATGGCAATTGGGAGAGGTTCCTGAAGACTGGAATAAGGCAAATGTCACCCCTGTCTTCAAGAAGGGTAAGAAGGAGGACACAGGGAACTACAGGCCAGTCAGCCTTACCCCAATCCCTGGAAAGGTAATGGAACAGCTCATGCTGGAGGCCATCTCTAAGCATATGAAAGACAAGAAGGTCATCAGGGGTGGTCAGCATGGATCCACCAAAGGGAAATCATGATTAACTAACCTGATTGCCTTCTATGACAGGACAACTGGCTGGATAGACAAGGGGAGGGCAGTAGATTTTGTATACTTGGACTTGAGCAAGGCTTTTGATACTGTCTCCTATGACACCCTCATTGGCAAACTCAAGAAGTGTGGGTTTGATGACTGGACAGTGAGGTGGATTGAGAAGTGGCTGAATGGCAGAGCTCAGAGTGTTGTCATTGGTGGTATGGAACAAAGTGGAAGGGCCATATCTAGTGGTGTCCCCCAGGGGTCAATACTGGGTCCAGTGTTATTCAACCTATTCATCAATGACTTCTGTGATTCTGTGACTTAGATGAAGGAACAGAGTGCCTCCTCAGCAAATTTGCTGATGATACTAAACTGGGAGGAGTGTCAGATGCACCAGATGGCTGCGCTGCCATTCAGAGGGAGCTCGACAGACTGGAGAGATGGGCAGAGAGGAACCTCATGAGGTTCAATAAGGGAAGGTGTAGGGTCCTGCATGTGGGAAGGAATAACCCCATACAGCAGTACAGGCTGGGTGCTGACCTCCTGGAAAGCAGCCCTGCAGAGAAGGACCTGGGAGTCCTAGTGGACAGCAAGTTAAATATGAGCCAGCAGCATGTTCTTTTGGCCAGGAAGGCCAAGAATATCTTGGGTTGTATTAGGAAGAGTGTTACCAGCAGGTCAAGAGAGGCAATCCTTCCCCTCTACTCAGCCCTGGTGAAGCCCCACCTGGAGTATTGTGTCCAGTTCTGGGGTCTTCAGTACAGGAAGGACATGGAACTCCTGGACCGTGTCCAGCAAGGGGCTACTAAGATGATTAAAGGACTGTCTTTCATATGAGGAAAGGCTTAGGGAGCTGGGCCCGTTCACCCTGGAGAAAAGACAGCTCAGAGGGGAACTAATTAATGTTTATAAATATCTAAAGGGAGAATATCTAGAGGATGGGGCCAGACTCTTCTCATTGGCATCCAACAATAGGACGAGAGGCAATGGGCATAAATTGCAGCATTGGAAATTCCACCTGAACATAAGGAAGAACTTCTTTACTGTGAGGGTGACTGAGCACTGGAACAGGTTGCCCGGATAGGTTGTGGAATCTCCCTCCCTGGAGATAGTCAAGAACTGTCTGGAGAAAATTCTGATTCATGTGCTCTAGGAGTCCTTGCTTGAGCAGGGTGGTTGGACTAGATGACCTTCAGAGGTCCCTTCCAACCTCAACCATTCTGTGATTCTGTGATTCTGTGATCTACCCTTCCACCTCCATGCACAGATTGCATTTCTTGATATCTTTGCCCTCTTGCAGAGGACTGTATCCCAATTTGATAAATGAGCTCAGTGCTATGATTGAAGAAGGGCTGGGGAGAAACAGAAGCTATAACATCTTCTCCAGGTCAAACCTACCTCCACCTCTTGGCATAAATTAGCATATCTGTTCTGTTAAATGTGCACCACCTTTGTATAATTTCTCAGTTCAGCTGAGAAACATCTTGGGAAAATTTTGTGCTCATTCTGAACTTCAGCTGTGTGAGGTTGACATGCTTTCTGTTCTGCAAGCAACCGTAACACATAATTTCTCACTTATGTGAGCAAATAAAGATTGGATGTGTTTCCAAAGGAGGCATCTTATATTAGTCAGAAGTCAAGGAAATTATTTTGGATATTAGTGTTCTCCAGCCTGTGTTATATAGGAGGTCAGAGAAGAAACTTCAGCCCTAACATTTATGAATTGCTGTCAAAGTTTGGTACCAGTAATGAAGCTGTCCTTTTAAGAACTCAAGTTGTAACCAAAAACTCTACAAAGGGCATGGTGGTTTCACATAACATAGAATAAAAAAAAAAAAATAAAGTTTTGACTCATTTGCATAGTAGAAATAGGAAAAAATTTTTTCCGTCTATGCTTCAAGTAATAATTGAAAACTAGAAGCGTTGTGTAAGTTTTGCTAGTTTTCTGCAGTCTCATGATAATGTAATGATAAATGTGATTGCCCTAAGGATCATTATATAATTCATTGCAGGGCAGGGTGAGCTAGGGGGTGTATTATACATACTCTAATTTATCATTGCATCTTCTTTGCATAGCTGTCCAACTCCAGGATGTGATGGCAGTGGTCATGTAACAGGAAACTATGCCTCACACCGCAGGTAAGAAACAACAGGAAGCCTAAAGCAGGAAATAGCACTACTTTTACGTATTGTAATCTTTCAACATTTTTATACTAACCATGGATAAATACTCAAAAGTAATTTGCAGAAAATTATCCATACATAAATGTGGCTGCTTTTCCTGGTTTTGTTATATTTTGTGGAGGTCTGGACTCAATAGACTGATGGAGTTAAGCAGCATGTGCTTTTTACTGTAGCCATATTTCTTATCCAAGATCTGTAGATAAGTCATTTTGTAAGGTTTGCATTTCCCTAAGTGTATGAGCACTCTCTGTACAGATGCTGGTGCATGAGATTTTAAATGAGGTTTCTGCAGATATCTCTGTTAACGGCTTTGAAATTCATAGATCTGCTAACATAATCTGAGGATGCTAAATATTTTCCTCAGAATAGTTTACTGTCAAGCTGGGGGTTGAAACAATAATTTCCTGCCTTTCCTTTTGGGAGCAAGATAGAAACAATTTCTGCCTTTTCCCAGCCATGTGGACCAGATGCTTTACCCGGCCTTCATGTAGGCAACATAAAGGGAGGACTCTGTACCACTGCCTCCCCATGAAAATCTTTACATGATCTTGGAAACCTTAGGCCCTAACCATGTATCTTTCCAGTAATTTAAGAACTACGGTGTGATATTGGCTGCTTCTCCTTTGCCAAGAGTAAATATTTGAGGACATCTTTTTTCCCATTATAAGCCATAGACTATCTGGAGGTTACTATTTTAGGAAAAAAAAAAAAAAAAAAAAAAAAAAAAAAGTTATGTTTCAGTAAAACATTTCACATTGGTTTTTTGGGGTTTTTTTTCAGTGTTTCTGGGTGCCCATTAGCTGACAAGACATTAAAATCCCTTATGGCTGCTAACTCTCAGGAGCTTAAGTAAGTACTGATAATAGCACAAATGTTATTGTTATTTATCTTTGATCAACATGTTCCCTCTGTTAATGCACTTCATTTGAATTGCTCTAAGCTACATCAAACCTTTGTCCAAAACTTGAAGTAAATTGGTTTGAAAGCTTTTGAGTGAAACAGATTTTACTTTTCTCCATTTGTCTTTCTTCATTTTTGTACCCCTTACTTTTCATGAATTAACCAGGACCTGGGGGAAAAAATTGTAAACAGTAGGAGAGATGTTGCTCTCACAGTATTTCTGAATCAGAGCAATAGAAAACATCAAACATGGAAGACTGATCTGGCAAATAACAGTCTGATCCACTTACAACAAATTAGAATTATTTGGTTAGAAATAAATCTAGTTAGAATAAATCTAAAAATGATACCAGAACTCCTGCAAATAATTTTTTATAATTCACTACAATATACTGTGAATTTAATGTCACTGAAGCAGACATCGAGTCATATGATTTTGTGCTGGCATAGTTCTCAGCATGAAATGTCACTTACAAAAGGACTGTGCAGGCTCTGCTATATAGACAGATGTATAGGGACATATGAATATTTAAAAAATCTGTAGTGAAGAGAGGTACTGGCAACCAGTCATCTAGTTATTGAATTGGCTTTGTCAATAAGGATGTGGGGAAGAAGATAGGATAATTAGAGTTCTTTCATAGCTTTCCCACTGCAACTTGTAAATTGGATCCCATAATAGATGGCTTGGAAAAACTCATGAATGCATGTAAGAGAATCCTGTGACTGTCCTTTCTGTCCTTTAGGTTCAACCCTAGTCCAGATAGAAGAAAATAAATTCTGATCATGGCACTACTATGCTGTTCTAATGGTAATAATAGTAGGATTGACTACATTTAGGCTTGACTCAGTGTTTAGCTTCCCCAGATCAAATGCTGGTGGTCTTATCCCCTAGTCTGACAGTTTGAAATATAAATAAAATGCTGAACAAAAATTATAATCAAAAAGCTGATGGTAGCTATGGAGTAAACCTACTGGCGATGCAGGAAAATAGCAAAGAAAGGTCATTTATAAGGGCAGTTGTTCAAAGCAGTTCCCAAAGCCAGTAGGTAAACTGACACATTGGCACCATTTTTTCCTTCACTGAGTTTCAGAGGCATAAAATTTAGGTTTAGTTTGTTTTAAAAGGAGGAGCACACAAAGCAAGGAACTGACTTGCAAAAATGCTGACAAATTTGAGATCATTTGCTGAGTCATATATATTTGTCCCTGCTTTTGTTGGCTTTCTGCCATACATAGACACTCACACAAATATTTTGAATAGTTGTTTCTCATGCAGTCCCACCCCCCCCGCCCCTCATATTCATGTGTGAATAAGGAAATTTGCATACCAATATGGTTATTTTTCCACTAAAGCTTCTAGAGTTTTGGTCATGCCATAAGGAAAGAGGAGCAACAGCATATGACTTAAATGACAAACTGCACACTGTACGCCATGTATAATAAGTGAGTTGTGAAAGACAAAGTCAAAGTTCATGGACATTTCACAGACAGAAATATGTTGCATAACGCACTTAGCGTTTAATTTCAATTAACCAGAAAAAGAGCAAAAATCAAAATCTGTTCGCAGACAATTTGCAAAAATAAAATTATTTTCCACAAATGTACCACCTTATTTTAGCCTCCTGCAAACATAGTTCAGGTGAAATTAAAAAAAAAAACAAACAGCAAAACAACAAAAAACAAACCAAACCAAAACTCTGCTTTTGATAAGTAGTGGCTAAATGAAATCTTATGCCAAAAACTGCAATTGTGCTTGCACTGGTGTAGGGTAGTGGTATCTATAGTTAATTTTACTATTGGTATGTAAGGAGAGGGCATAAATGCTTGTAGAATCAGGCCATGAAAGTGCCCTCATGTAGTTAAGCATGAATATGAAAAAGCTGTGTATTTTTTCCAAGTGCTATAATGTTATTCACATTTGATTTGCCAGAATCAAGATATGATTTTGGCTTTAATTATGAAACTCTAAGCCAGCAAACATGGAAGGCTTCCATGTGATCTACAGTTTAGAAATAAGGAAGATCTGTTCAGAAAGTGAGCCTTTGAGTCAGATTCAGTAATTTTTTTGTCTGAGGATTCTAAGCTAGTCAAATTAAAACATACTAAAGTTAATGATTACTCAGATTTTAAAACAATAAGTGATCATTATGAATGATTACCCTATTTCACCAAAGACCTTGCTTATAAAGTCTTAAAGAATTTTAAAAACATACTTTAGAAAGGTATTTACTTACAGTTCATAAACTTTACAGAATAGATAGTCAATCCTATCCTTAGAAAAGTTGCTGCAGTGGTTAAATGACAATTTTTAGGAGCTATTCAAGCAGTTCTTCTAGGTAGGGTCACAAAACACGTTGATACTGATCTATATTCCATAGGTAGCAAGACATATTTCAGTCAATGGTTTTCTCAGCTGACCTCTATGGGTTTGCCTTAAATACAGTTCATATCCTGACTTCTATGGGTTTACCTTAAATACAGTTCATATCCTGACCTCTATGGGTTTGCCTTAAATACAGTTCATGTCCAACCATCCCTGTGAGCTTTATGGGGAGTAAAAGTACCAGAAATGCTCCTAGAACTGCAGCTCAGTGTATCAATTTTATGTGTAGTTGTAGTTCATCTGCCTAAAGATACAGCAACCCGCTTGAAGAAGGGAACAAAATAGCAGGTACCTGATGCACAGTTGCCAGAATTTCTATGTAAAATCACTGAGATTTGTTCTTGGAAAACAAACTTGAAATGCAAAATAATCTGTAATCTACACCCACATCTTTTAGCTTGAACTCCTGAGGCCTCTGGCCTTCCAATATAAATCTGATTTTCTTGGCTCTGCACAGGAATCCATAACAGAGGATGACTCCCTAAGGTGGGGCACTAGTCCAAACTCGTCAGCCAGTTAAAAGCTGATAAAGCTCCACAGTATTACTGACTGTAAGGCAATGCATTATTGATTCATCATGTATTTGGAATTCCACAATTCATACAAAGATATAACTAATATTTGGAAAACCCAACCCAGTGGTCAAGCTTAGGAATGTTGCTAGTGAAGCTTACCAATTTGTCAGTAGTCCACTTTAAATATCATATTGTAATTTCATCAGTATTGATAATATCTAAGCTTCAAATCTTTAATGACCTCAAGAATACCTTGGAGTCTAATCTGGTTGTGAAATCTGAAATCTATCTACTGGAAGTGGTAAAAACAAATCGGGAGATTTAAATTTAGTTCAGTATCTTTTTTAAGTCCATAACTCTCAGACTCTCATATCTGAACATCTCCCACAAAGAGCTCTTACTGAATTAAAATCCACATCCAATCTATGTGGACAGCTCTTCCATCTGTGATCATCTGATAAAACAAGTAGCCAAAATTAATACTCATAGTATTTGGCAGGTGTTCTGGATTTACTTGTGAGCATTCATGCTCTCCAGACATCTGCCCTTGTTCCCTGCTCCACGCGACATTGTGCCCAGTCCTTGTCTCACACTCAGACAGGTCAACATTTAGTGCTACACTGTTGAGCGTATCTGGCACCCTGCAACCCACACCTTTGCCTTCACCATCAGTGTGAGACATGTCGTTCTGCCAAAATATTTTGTCATTGTGAAATGTTTTGACATTATGTTTAAAAAAAAAAAGTATCTCTTTTCTTCAGTTGAAATTATTTACTGAATTCTTCTTTCATCAGTGAATAAATTTGGTCGTGTCCAAAAGAAATCACATTTTTGGCAAATTAATTTTTCACAGAAAAATAGTTTTAAATATTCTGTGAAGACATACATATGCATACTCAGATGTATTATTACAATTATATTTGTAGGTGTTTTACGTGGCAGCCTACTAATGATTAGATTAAATCACCCATCTCCTCACCTCTGGAATGATTCAGAAACAATTGAGACCTTTAAGAGAATATTGAACAATGCAAGTTTCCTTAATGTCTCAGTGCAAGATTATCTGGCATGACTCTCTCCATAATTCTGATATTCTGTAAAAATCATAACATTCAAAAGGCCCTTAGGGATGCTTAACATAGGAATTTTGTTCTATGGAATACAGAAATATAGAAATGGCTGTCACAACTTCTAAAGGTAAATATTTTTTGAGTGCTGCTATGTGTGTTGAGGTGTGTTTCTCTTCTCTTAAAAAGAAAAGAAACCAAACAAAAATACAATAGCCTTAAATAGAAAACAAACAAAAAAAAATCTCAACTTCTGAGATGGAAGGTGCTAGCAATAAGGTCTTGCTCCAGATCCCACAGAAAGAAACTATTGACTTCAGTAGGCTTTTGGAGCACATCCTTCATGTACAACTGGCAAGCAAGAAGCCCACCCTCCCAAACCCCTGCAAAAACACTGTAACAGACAGGTTTGGTTCTTTTAATTGTATGGTTGTTTTGGTATTAAACATTCATACTTGAAAAGGTTTGTTTTTGCACCCAAACACAGAAACCCTCTATGAGACATAAGCATAATCCAATTGCCCAGCTGAATACCCAATTGAATCTAGTGTTTAGGAAGAAGTGGTTTTGTTGTATGCTTACAGTGCTAGAATATACAAATTAATAAATTCAAATTCTGGCTATCATCTACTGAAGCCCAAAAGTAAAACTGCTTCTCTGCTTCCATTTCCCCTTCTGTAGATACTGGCAAAGTGCTCATTTATATCTGTACCTGAAAATATCAGAAGAATAACAAACGAACACATAATAGCAAATTTACAAATAGATCTATATCAAGCTGCTTTTTTTTTTTTTTTTTTTTTTTTTTGTAATATTGATCCTGTACAAGGAAAAATGTTTGGTACAAACAGTGTTGTAAACTAATTAAATCATACATATGCAATATATTTCACATTCCTTACTAAATTTTTTTTATAAAAGAAAAAAAAAATGACAGGAATCTGTTCATTTAAAAAAAAAATAATAAAAAATTGTCAAGAACTAGAAACCTCTCCTGTTTTTTCCTCCACCCTAGACAAAATGCACAATGTACCCATTATTTACTGTGTACTTTTGAAGCCATATTTTATAAGCTCCTTATATTATTCCATAGGTGCCCAACACCTGGCTGTGATGGCTCTGGCCACGTGACAGGGAACTATGCATCCCACAGAAGGTAAAAACCATTCCATTGCACAGGGCTGCAGCGCTAGGGATTCTTGGCAAGTAGCAGCAGAAAGAGGTGGCTTTTACTCTGTGTGTTTCTTTCAGCTTATCTGGTTGTCCTCGTGCCAGGAAAGGAGGTATCAAAGTGACTCCTACCAAGGAAGAAAAAGAAGACTCTGAACTTAAGTGAGTAGAAAAACAGAGGTCTACCACCAGTGAAGGGGGAAATAAGCCTGTAAGAGCTCAGGACTTGAGGCATCATAGGAGATGCTGCAGTTAATCTGGGCTGCATGAGGACAGGGCCTAGAGCTGGAGCTGAACTAAGTGTTTCTGCTTCTAGCAAAGCTGGTGGAGACCATCGCTTTGGAGCTTGAACAACAAGGCGGGATTACTAGATCTGCTTGCATTGGTCCAATTATTTTAAACAGTGCTATGAAAGTGCCACCTGGTTGGAAAATTTGGCAAAAGGAAGGAAAAAAATATGTTTCTGTCTGTAGTGAAATCTTAACATGTCAGCTAATTAAATCAGAGTGGTACTTTAAAAATATGTCCCAGAGAACTTAAATATATGTCTCACATCTTTCCTCTATAACTAAATTAAAATTTCACTTAAAGTGAAAATAGAAAACTCAGTAGAGATTCACTACATTCCTGACTTGAACCCACATTCCATTAAAATCAGTAAATAATAACTGCCAGGATAAGATATGAAGATTTAGTTGCATACAATGTTGTTCTTAATACTTACTAATGATATATGAGAGGCTGCATAACACTGACAGAGCAGTGTAAGAAAATCCCAAAACTTTCTTTGCAAGTATTTGCATGAGAAGACACAAGCTTTCCAGGTACAGAAACCCACCCACTCCTTCATGCCAAAAACCTAGATAGTGAGGAGAGAATGTTGACTTTCCATAAAGTTGTAGAAGGATGAATTATTTGCTGTGATAGAATTTCAATTTTCTTTTCTGTTAAAATACTATATAAATGAATGTTTTAGTTTCTTAGGCTGTATGGCTGTATTTTAAATTGCCTAATCTGCAAATCAGCTGAACCCCCATAACTCATCTTGACATGAATTGGATGCTCAGGTACAGTGTGCCTCTGGGGACTGAGTCTTAATCCATTAATGCAAAGTGGCACAGGTAGCTGGAATTATTTTTTCAGACTTTCTTGAGACTGTCTTCGCCTGTTCTCTCCAGTGAAAACAGGGGTTCTTTTGCTGTGTTTCTGTAGATGTCCAGTGATAGGCTGTGATGGCCAAGGTCACATATCAGGTAAATACACTTCTCATCGCACTGCTTCTGGTTGTCCTTTGGCTGCCAAGAGACAGAAGGAGAGTCCCGTCAATGGGTCTTCACTATCCTGGAAACTGAACAAACAAGAGCTGCCACACTGTCCTTTGCCAGGCTGCAACGGGCTGGGTCATGTTAATAATGTTTTTGTCACCCACAGAAGGTATAACTTTGTGTTTTCTCTTTTTATTTCTCCTTAACATTCCGCTGTTACATTGGCAACATGTGACGTTATAGTCTGAATAAATTGTGCTGAAGTCTTTTAAGTAACAACATAGTTTACATTGCATCTGAGGTAATATGGATCAGAGTAACAAGAGTTGGGATCAACTTTTTACTCTTTTTCTATGTTCCCATTGCAGTGTGACTTTTCAAGGTCTTTTCTTCAAATTAGCAAAAATTCTATATGGTTTAAAATTTAATAGAGTTCTTTCCGGGGCAAATATGGAGTATTATCTGTATAACTTTTAAGGAAAATGCAAATATCCTTGATACGTCACCAGAGAAGACTTAGCAGGAACAATGGCTGCATTCATTTAATCATTCTACCAGTGGAAAAGCTGTTTTCATAAACTTTGTATTTAAATAGCTAGAACCACACAAAAAAAGTAAACATACAGAACTCATATTACATAAGTTTGAAGTTATAACAATCTTACAAAGAAAATTATCCTTACAAAGCAAGAATCACATATATAACCAGTAACAATAAACACTATGTTTTTATATATCACTGTGAAAACACTAGTATAATTTGACCACGTTCAATCAATATTACTCAAAGAATCTGGTTACAGAATCTGAATTAATACCTGACAAAGTTTAGTCTTCTGTCTGCAACAGGAATTAAGTCTATATTCTATGCCTTCTTTGCTTTCTTTCTAACATTCTGAACCCATTTCTCCAACATAAGAATGTCCAAGTTGTCTTGAACAAATTCAGACAGAGTCCAGTGTTATCCTAACTTTATGATCTACATCCCACGTTAAAGCCTTTACATCAGGACCCTACTGTAAATAGGGGCTAATTAAGCAAATAACATAAATAGTATGCTAGCTGGTTGCAACTCATACTACAGATTATTTCTGTCCTACATAAACCTGGATTACACTCAAGATCATGTTAGTTAAAATGAAGTAGCAAGTGTAGTTTTGTGATATAATATCCTTTCCTAGGCCATTTGAAACCTAACAAGTAACCCTTGGCTTTCAGACATTTTTCCAGTTAGTTATCTGCTCTGGTCAGAGATACTAAGCAGCATTTTAGAACCAGAGAACTAGCACCTTTCCCCATGTAGCTCTTAGCTAAGCCAGTGTGAAGCTAACTTTTACCCACAGATACTTTTTATTTTTTTTTCCCCATGTGGAAACATGATGTCTGTTAGGATTTTTGGTTTTGATTTTTATACATACACACAAAAATCAACCATTTCCCTGTGGAACAAAATTTTCCTTCACTCCTTACTTGCCTACATCTGAATACAAATCCTTCTGACAGTTCTTCAGCATATGGGCATTTTTTCTTTGTTATTTGTAAAGATAGTATTAAGACAGTGCAATTCATCTTAGCCCTTCAGTGGGCTATAAAATTTGCCTCAGATAATTACCAGCTGATGAAATTGTAAGCTTTGAAATAGTAAAAGGTAATTTAATGTGAACAGTGGTTAAAAGGCAAACTGACTATATAATAGAACAATTTAAAAAAGCTATTACAGTCTATAAGGTATATCCAGAGTTATTATTGTATTGATCATTATTATGTATCAACAAAATGATACAGTAGTTGTGCATTGTGGAAATAATCCCATTAACTATTTTTTTTTAGAGTAGTAAACTTGCCATTTCAAAGGACCATACTGCCCCTCTCCTCTGGAGCACAAGCCCTCAATAAAAACAATAGAGAGTTTTTATTTATAAGTGTTGGAACTTCAAGAATTCTGTAAATGCATCTTCATATAACTTAACAGTAGCTGCCACTGCTATTTTTATTATTTTGAAATATGCTTAAGAGTTTTTTATTTATAGGTTGAGATTTCTGTGCCAATTTTCAAGATGGAATATACAGTTAAATGGCTCTTTATGAGTTATGTCATTCCCTGAAGCTATGCTATAATGGAGATACTGATGTGACCTTAGGTACAGAGGTCTGTCCAAGTGCATGATAATATTGCCTGAAAGGATTGTTGCCATTTTCAAGTGGGTGCTAATCTTTTGTTTTGTTGTGTTTGTTTTTTTTTTTTTCCTATTCATTTCAGCCTGTCTGGTTGTCCTCTGAATGCACAAGCCATAAAAAAGGGCAAAATTTCGGAAGAATTAATGACTATCAAGCTTAAAGCAAGTGGTGGTAAGGAGATCTGTAAAAGATTATGACATTTACTTATATAAAAGGGCCCTGACTCCCATTTATACTTATGCCCCTTTATGCCATTCTGGCATTAATTCTCACTCCTTTCAGCTGTCTTCAGCAATAACAAATCTTCAATAATAAAAATCTTTGCATGAGAGATTATAAAATTATCCTCATTTACATCATGATAACTCAACATTGCTTGTTTGTTCTCATCTTGTCTCAAAGCATTATTTTTTGATTTGGAGATGCTTTCAATATCATTATTACTAATAAATTATTAGTTACAGATCAGGAGGACTCAGCTATCTGATGACTAAGGTAAGAAGGGATAAATCTTGTGTGCAGAAATTGACTCCTCTCCCTAACTTGAATACTAAATGGTTTAGTATCAGTGCAGCACTCAGAAAATTTTGCTAACCCAAGTGTAAAGGAACAAATACCAAATAGTTATAGAGCAAAATATGAAGGAGTCTCCTTTCTTACACAGCATGCTTTAGAAAGTTGGGTATTAAGCCAGGATTCAGAGAACTTAGCCTTTATGTCTCCAACTGCTGAACAAAATGGTTGTGCTAGGTTGGGCAAACGAGTTTGCTTCCACGTGTCCATGTTTTCAGTGGGGCAGGGAGTGCTGCTGGCAGATTTCCCAAGCTGGCTCCCCAGTAGACTCAGTTCAGGTTTTAAAGCAGTAACAACAATAATGGCACAAATCTCTGGCTAGAGCTGGTTTCAGAATGCTGCTCAGTATTTTTCAGGATAAGGTTTTCATTAAAGATCTGATGTTGTGGTTTTTTTCAGTTTGCTATCTGACTTTGGGGATTTTTTTTTTTTTTTCTGTAATGCTTGTTAGCTTCCTGACAATTTCCCTTTTGCTATTACTTAACTTTCACTATCACATGTAACTAAGGCTGTGCTTCCTGAAGTTCTTGTGCACAGACATTTGCCCCCATAGAACTTTTTGCAAGATTAGAAGCAGGTACAGCTGAGTTTACTAAAGTCACCAGTTATACCAGTGGGGATGTTACCCTGGGGTATTCCCTGCAAAAGAAGGGTTGCTGTTACATTTCTTTTAATATGGAAAAAACCTCAAAGCCATTGTAAATACATCTTCATGTTTTATGATAAACTTTCCACTTTCTGGGCATTTTTTTCCTTTCTCTACCCTCCAGCTTGTAGTTGCATGTTACACTGGAACAAAATAATTGTGAAACACAAAGGACTCAGAAAGCTCCTTCTATGTGACAGCTCATGTAGATGTTTTACAACTAGGAAACAATTTTGACAGTAAAAGCAAAGTAAGAGTCAATTTAAGGATCAGTCATTTGATTAAAAGCTTATTATCTTCCTCTTGTTCAGTAACAGGTAATGCAGCATGTTACTTGTACATCCATTTACATGTGAGCACTTTAAATCTGATATTGGTATTTTCAACTATTTGCAGGTATTGAGAGTGATGAAGAAATCAGACACTTGGATGAAGAAATAAAAGAATTGAATGAATCCAATCTTAAAATTGAAGCTGACATGATGAAACTTCAAACCCAGGTATGACATCTGGATGAAAGTTTTACTTTTTCTTACACTACATTTAAGCACAATAAATTCATTAAATGCTATGTAAAGGCTATGTTTAAACAATTAGTTTCTTGTAGATTTGTTTTCCCATCACTTTGTGGCACTTAAAAGGACCAAAATCCTACATGCTTTTTTATCAAGTTTTTGTTTGTTTTCTGTAAATAAGCAGCAGATTCCTGGGTATTGTCTTAAAGATCTGGTAAATGACAAATTCAGGGCAGTTTGGAGCTAATGTTGGCAAGCAGAAAAACCATATTTACCCAACAAAACATTCATTTTCTTTTGTTGACCAAACCTCTGTTGACCAAATCCTGTAGAATCCCGTGACTGTGTTTTTTAAGGAGGATATTACTCCTTACTAGCACACTCTAATTCTTAATGTGAGTTGACTTTGTTCCTATCTGTACCTAAGAAAATCTGCCTAGTTCAGTTCAGCCACTGTCAGTTATTCAAATAGTTTGAGTTTTGCCTCCAGGCAACACCTGGTAAAGAGTGGATACCTTTTGTTGATTTATGTAGCAGAGGAGTTTGACTGGGAGCTATAGAAAAGAGTCATTCTCTTTTATTCTTTTGTATACTGGAGAGATTAAATTTGCTTTAAGATGTTGATAGTGGTTCTATGGAGTGATCTGAATAAATTCATTCCCACAGACACTGCTATAGCAGCTGAGAGTTCACCTGGGCAGACTAGGTAAAAGCAAAAGCAGAAGCTTGCTCAATATTTTAGGAATAAGAGTTTAAGAAAAAAGTTCCTAAATGAGATCTAGGAACTGAATACAAGTCTAAAAGGATTTAAAACAAACTAATGTAACCATACCCCTTTACATTTGTACCACACTGGAATGCATAGTGTAGATTGATGCTGTTTTTTAATAACCACTGCAGGTAGGGTCTAAATAAGGATAAAGTTTATGCCACCTATGCTGGATCTAAATGATCTGGCTTCACACTGCAAAGGCTGAGGGGATATATACCCCAAATTGCACTGCAGTGAGGGAGGGGCTGATGGTTGGCTTTAAGTGTCTCAGGACAATTATTTCAGTTCTCTGGTGACCACTGTCCTGTTTGCATAGAGATTACCCAATTTATGCAGTCAGATTTCTTCTCCTTGGACTTGTTCCCTGGTGAAGGCAGTCTGATCAGCAAAGCCTGAACTGAGCTACAGCTGAAACAACACATCCCCTATATGGCTTGCTCTATCTCCTTTTAACCTCACCTGGCCGGGTGTCAGGCTGCTGTCAGCACCCTCCAGAGCAGAGGCTGCAGTGGGTCACAGGCTGGCAAAAAGGGGGTTCCTCCCCTTAGGGACAGTTCTGATGTGCGATGGTGTGTGAGGAAAGGAAGTAAAGTGGTCACAGCAAGAGAAATTTAAGAGGAACAGAGATGTGCATTTTAATGAGCAGAGGGTGGACATAACAGCCATGGATGTGACTCCATTGCTCTGCGCCTCACAGAGCGGTGGCCAGTCCTTGATTCTGCCCTGCCCTGCTGCCCAGCTGCCCACTGTGGGGTGAGGAACTGGGCAGTGGTGGGGAGCAGGCCCTGCTGTTGCTGCCTTCAGTTTTTCAGCACTGCTTTTGACATAAAAGCCTTAAGAGACGAGTATACTCCCAGTGCTCTCACGCTAAAAAGATACCATTTTGCTACCTCAGACGTTTTTCCTGCTCTTTCCAAAACCTTTGTTTCCATTCTGTTGGTCAGAGATCATCTTTGCGATGATTGTTGCACACTCAACCTCTTAGTTTTCTTTCCACTCTATTTTTCTCTTATTGTTTCCAGCACCAGCCCTGTTTGCTGACCCCAGCCAGTCCACAGCTCTACCCTCCACCTGGAAGCAGGGCAGGAAAATAGCACAACAGCTAATACCCGTGCCCTTGTTATTGTGGTCAATCAACAGGGATGCTGTAAGAGTAGGACAGCAATGTAAACATAGGTCTCCTTTCTCCTTGAGTCTGCCAGCCCTGTGGCCCCACTCTTCATCCCAGCTCCACAATGACCTTCACCCCAGCTCAATTCCCTCCTCCAGCTGTAGGGCATCCTCCAGTGCCTCACTGCCACAAGGTTTCTCTGTGAACCAGCAGCAAAGTCCATGGGTTCAGAGTGAAAACAGTCTCTTCCTTGCTATGAATATTCTGTGGAGAACTCTCGAGATGTCTTGAGATGTCTCAAGAAGTCTTGATATGTCCCTGAGATGTCTATCCTAAGAAAACCATACCTAATCTTCAGATTCATCGTGACCCCTCTCCTAATCACGTGACTGCCATTTTAGTTTCAAACTGCAGTTACAATGCTGTCAAGGGTCTTTCTATTTGTGTGTTTGTGCCTGCCTGTGTCTTTTAGATCACATCTATGGAAAGCAATTTAAAAACAATAGAAGAAGAGAACAAACTCATAGAGCAGAACAATGAGAGCCTGTTGAAGGAGTTAGCTGGCTTAAGCCAAGCCCTCATCTCCAGCCTCGCTGACATTCAACTTCCGCAGATGGTAAGACCACAGCCAGCAGCTTCACACCTTCTTTGAGACTTTTGCCAACACCTGAAGCAGATGAGCAAGCTCAGGGACAGCAGGAGCACTGGAGCTGCATTAGCAGAGAGCTCTTTAGCCTAATTTACTTTACAGGGATGCTGGATCAAGAAATCTGTGTGATAGCAGGCACAGTTGCTTCCAGGACTGAGCCAGCCCTGTTCTCTCTGCCCTGTACTGCACTGTGTAGCTCAGGCTTTTCCCTTGTCCCTCCCTATCTGAATGTCTACCATGCACAAATCATGAAAACTTCATGACAGGGATCCTTATTTACCCTTGCTCCTAGATCAGAATTTTAACATGTTTCATGCAGGTGATTTTTCTGAAGCCAGCAAAGCTCTACCTTCTTAAAAAATTCCACATCCTTGATGTCCTACTTGCAAATGTAGACCAAATCCACAAACATACAAAGGGTCTGAGCTACAGTCCCCTTTCCCAATCCTAAGACTGCCACTGGGAGATTAGTTGAGGACAGTTATGGGGATGTCAGCCACAATACGAGCCAAACAGGCCACAATAAAAAAGCAAGTTACACTGATGATATCTCCAACCCTTTTCTTGCTTGGATAGTGTGTGTTTCCCCCAACACATGCAACTCCCTTCATTTCTACAACCCCTCCATTACTTTGGATAGCTGCCTTATTTACGACTTCTCCCCAGTTGCCATATTGCCGCGCTACCATATTTTGAGGTTGGGTGTTTGGGTTTCTTTTTTTTTGCCTTAATTTTATCTCCTACAATTATAATCTGTTTTGTCTTCATTTAGGGGCCAATCAGTGAGCAGAATTTCGAAGCATATGTAAATACACTCACAGACATGTACAGCAATCTGGAACAGGACTATTCCCCCGAATGCAAAGCTCTGCTGGAAAGTATCAAACAGGCAGTGAAGGGCATCCATGTGTAGGATGTGAAAGCTGCTGGGCAACAGAAATTACTTAACAGCAGTAAACTCCAGATGGATCTGTTAGGAGTTCATGTACTGCTAAGAGGTGTAGGTTGCCATGCTGCATTTACAATTGCAACATTGCACTAATTTTTTCCCAGCTGACATAAAAATAAAAAAAAATAATAAAACCACAACAGACTATTTCTATTAACAGCAATGCACTCTGTTAGTATATTATATTTATTTCAGTACAATTCCTTTTTTTTTTTTTGCACTCAGTTTTTGTAAAGTGAATGTAAAAAGTGTGTGCGACTATTTTTTATATTTTTTATTTATTTCTAATCAAAGAGTTGTTTTTTTTTATCTTTTGACAGCATTTTTGCGGCCTGCCATATTTTTACAAATGTGTTTATTAATTTATTTTCCAATGGGATTTTAAATAGACTGAAAAGTTATACTGTAAATTAAATAACTTGCTGGGTTTGTACAGGAAGAAAAAAAAAATCCTATGAAAGTAAGAAATGACTGAACCACGGTTCTAGTTTTATTTTCCTCACATCCTGCTTTTTTATAATGGCTTTGTATCAGAAATGGGTTTGCAGTACCAGGAGATGTGAAGATGCACGGAATGAGAAGATAAATGGTGCCCACTAGTGGGGAACTTGGGCTCTTAAAAGCACAGTATGCTGGAAAACAGTGTGTTAAAGAATACGTTAGCAATAATGAAATATAGCAATCAGCAAAGCACTTGACTTGGCTGTGTGATTTAGCCTATGCGAATGGTTATTTAAAATGTTTCAAGAGAACTTCAGATTTATTTTACCACTGCAGTTTTTTTTCACAGTTAGCTCATGGAGAGAAATGACAATTATCTCTAAACAAGGATAATTTGACAGGACTGACTGGTACTTTTTTAGTACAAGATGTTGAGGTTTTAACCAAGTGACCAGTATTGCTATGGATTTGGGTTTGAAAAATGCAAACACATCCCGAGCGAAGGCTTTGTACATAATGAATAGAACACATCTCCCCTGAAATGGCATTTAATACTGGTTTGAACTTAACGACAGCTGAGAAGGCAGCAGTCTGGAGAGGAATAATACCACTCCAGCACAACGGTGGTTGCTTTTGTCTTTGAACAAAGGGTAGCAACACCATGACTGGTTTCTCCCATCCTTCTTCACTAAAACAAGGCTGATACTGAATTTGTTACCAGTCTTTTGGTAGGGTACCAAGTGCTACAGAGAGTACAGACAGACAGAGGGGTGGACAGATGAGCACTTGCGTAGAGGTGCTGGTGTGCACCTCAGTATCTGGTTAGCCTGGGTGCGGAACTTCTGAATCTATCAGAAAGTAGTGGTTGCTATAACAGAGGCAATGTCTATTTCAGGGATTGTAAGTAATTAAGCATTGTTTCAAAAGTTTTTTTTATATTTATTTTTTTTAAGAAAAAGGTATAAACAACCAGCTAAACTGCCTTTTTTGTATGCACACACACCTCATGTGCATATGTGCCTCAGTGTAAATGTATACATGGATCTAGCGTGTGTTTAATTTTTCCGTGCTATAATGAAAGTGTTTATTTTTATTAGCCTCATTTATATTTAGATTGAATATGATGGCATTCACAGGCTTGACATATACAATTATATTATTACTGTTCCTGCACAAAAGTACTATTCAGAAGTGATTCAACTCTCATGCACTGTGGTCACCGTTCTGCATTAGGTGGGGCTTGCTTTTTGTTTGAGGGTTGATTCAACTCTCCTATCTTAGTTTAGACAGGGGAAAATGTATGTTCTTAGGAGCTGTGTTTATTTTTAAATTGTTTTTTCAAAAGCTACCATATGTGCTGTCTTATATAAATAGGAGGACACCAAACAAAAATTTGCTATTAAAGTTATTGTTCTTGCTAAAAAAAACAAACAGCGAACATTTGTTATACTTGTTAAATGCATACAAAATGAGTCACTCATTACAAAGACTAAAATTTAATTTACTAAATATTTTAACAAATTTGTTATATATTTTATTTAAGTAAAAAAAATCTTTTACTGACCTATGTATTTATTATTATGATTTACTATGGCTTCAGGTTAATTTATCTGTGTTTGGTTGTTTGCTCAGGATGTTCTGTGCAGTATGTTTGTATTTATTTGCCTTCCTTGTACTTGATGTGTTTTGTAATGTGCACTGATTTTTTTTCTTTTTTTTTTTCTTTTTTTGTGTTTAAATGCATTGATGAGCTATCCTGTAAATTAGACCTTTTGTAAAGAGCAATGATGTATGCATTTTTTAATTTGGAGTAGTTTGTATACTGTTTCTTCATACAATTAATATTTCTTACATCAAAACAACAAAATTGTGTTCTGTGCTGTACATTTGGTGTATGGTAGGAAATAAAATTGATAATGAAACATTGCAGCAAGTTTGTTGGGTTTTTTAGCCTCTAGATGCCGATGTGTATTACACTTCCTTAACTGCACCTGGCACTATACAATGTGTCAGATGTTTTACTTGCTTTGTGTACAAAATGTGTCATCCCTGTAAGAAAATTTCTGGTATAAATAATTTAATTAGTGTTTTACTTTGTCAGTTTGAAATAAGGAGGAGAAAAATGGAACTGCTTAAGAGGTCCTTTTCACTTCTGAAGGGGAAAAAGAAAATCAAGATAATAATCACTACATTATTTAATGCATTATTTTCTTGGCAGTTGTAGACTTCATTTATACAGATAAAGTACAGGATCTGTGCTGACCTTTAACAGCTGCTAAACGATGTTTAAACATAAAAGCCATTGTAAAGTTTCCAGCAATTCGGAACCGCCCACTGTTCCAGTGCAATTTTCTGCTGAGATTTGCAGTGGTTAGATGTTGCACAAATGAAAATCTGATGGTTTTAGAAAGACAGTATTTCCAGTATCTAATAGACTTTTTTTTTTCACTCTCATTGTAGTAAAACCAGATCAGTTTTATTTAGGATGCATGCTAATGGCTTCAGGAGTATTTCTTGTCTCAGATTCTAACTTCCCGTGGATAGACCAAGAATAATTACCATTTAGAAAAAATGGTAAATTTAAAGTCCACAAAGTAGTTGATAATAATTTATTTGAATAGACATAAATAAACCAAAATGGACTCTGACACTAGAAAAACATACATATCCTGCACTTAAATAAAGCAGAAGTTCAAAATTTGGATCATAATATGAATCCTCGATACTCGCAAATCTTGCCAAGTTTGGAGCTGCAGAGTCAGCAAAGGGCTGGATGGAGATAGATCTATCCTGAGAATCTCTGCCCACTCGGGTTCAGAGTTTGCTTTGCTTTAGGACACTTACCCAAGGACAGCATGAACTGGTTCTTAAGTAATTAATAGTTACTTAAGAATTATTTCTTTATATTTCTTAATGAATATAACATAATATTTCTTCAGGGTGCTTTAAAATTACTATTTAACTGAAGCTGTAGACCTTGAGGTCAGCAGACACTGATGGGATAGTCTCTTCTCTCACACCACAGATGAAGCAGAAACAGGTCTCCTTTAGCAATGTGCCTTAATGCTAAACAGATAAAGACTGAGGACAGAATTTTTGTTTTGTCTGACTACCTACATTGAAATTACAAATTTAGAAAATCTTATTGTCAGCTAGGGAGCACCTCATAGCTCATTTTTAAAAGGTCTAATTCTGATTATCTGCTGTTGGTAAGACTGGGGGAGGGCAGTGGTACTAGGATATTAGGCTCTACGTACACCTAATAAAATAATGCGGTATTCTCAAATGCTTCCAGCAATCTGAGACAGGGACTGTGAGCAAAGAAACACTTTTCCTAGTGGTTTTGGATAGGAAATAAGATCTCTACAGTTAATTGATTAAATTAATATTATCTAAAGACTGTTCCTGCATTCGTCTTTAAACAACTTGCTCTGATAATACTTATTTCAGTCTTGAAATCATGGACTTTCTCCACTAAAAAAGAATAATATAATTAGTTAAGCTATATTTATTGCTAAACTAACATAAGCCATGGGGGAAAAAACCCAAAACAATAAAAAACGTTGTGTATGAAATAACCTTTCAAACCATTTCCATCGTCTGAATTGTACATTTTTAATAATTCTTCTATATCTTTGCTTATAAAAGGGAGAAAATTGCTTAATTCCATAAAGACGTCTAAATTCGATTGATTGAATTAACCTTAATGGAATTGAAGCTTTAAATATCAAAGAGAAGGGGAAAGAGAACAGTCAGCATTTTCTGTCCTATTGGTCAGTAAGTCTATCCTGTCCCTTAACTAATCATGACAAAGGGTTTTGAGTCTGCAGGGTAGAAAATAGATTGTTTTCTACTGCAATCTTATTTCTTTTTACTAATTAAGCACCTCTTCTCTCCTGCTGGTTTTGTGTATCTGTCTAATGGCTCTTCCACTCAACTCCCCTTTACCCTACTCATAGTGTACTTTTTTGGGTTTTTTTAATAAGTCACAGGATATCTTGATGGGAATTTGTTATCATGCAATGTTGCAGGGTTATGACAGAAGCCATCCCCTTTCCTCCCGTGTTGCTTCAGTGCAATACATTCTACCTGTCTTAGCATTTCTTCTGACCTTAAAATTTCTTCATGATTTATGCTGCTGTATGACTTGGATGCTGCTAGGAGATATGCACCAGATAAAGTCCTTTGACCATCTCACTAAGGATACTGTGGGATGATACAACCCCATTTAGCTTTTGTGCAATGTAGAACAGTGACCTAGTTTCAGTACCTTTCACTATCTCATTCTGGCTTGGTTTTCTTCTGCCTCTTTTGCTCCAGTAAGTCTTACACAGCCAAGCTTACACATAATTTCATCAAGGATTAGTCTGATTTCCTGTCTGACTTCATGGTACAAATTGCTTCAACTGCATTTCATTCTTAACGAATGTTCCCAGGGACATTGTCCAAGTAAATCTCAGGACTTTTCAGTTATATGACAACAATTACTATTTAGGTTGCTACTATCGGCTCCGAAACTGTTACTGAATAAGATTTTTCCAAACCAGCTTTTCTTGCCCAGTACCAGATTTTGGTGCCCAGCTTCACATCCCTTGA